TTATTTACCAGTAAGGTTGTAGTCGAATGTGAATGCCTGAATTGAACAGTAAGTGTTGAGTCTTGGGTCTTTACATCTCTAAAACTAAAAACCTTTGATTCATCTTGATTCAAAATAGGAGGAAGACAATTGTAACTTAACTTCTACGAAAAAGGGAGTAGAAGGCAGCCCAGCAGGAACGGGATCTGCTCCTCACATTTGGGCGCCTCACATGCACATCCACCATGCACTGGGAACATCTCCCATGAATAATAACTTAAGAGTAGAGGAGATATTCCCAATGCATGATAGGATGTGCATGTGAAAAGCCCTGTATGAGGAGTAGATCCGGTCTCAGCCCACACGAGACGCAACAGGAAGTCAGGGACCATAATTGTGATCCATTGCATGCAAGTCATGCATAATACATTAATATAAAATCATAAATTATATATATATATATATATATATATAATATTAAAAATAAATCAGTTTTTTCGATTAACCAATGTATCAACTAAGAAAACCAAAACCGAAAACTGAATTATCTAATAACCGAACCCGAGAAACCAAATAAATCGAACCAATTAAATTGAAACTGAAATTTCGATTTGGTTTTTCGGTTTTAACTAAAATATGCTAACTCATTAACGTCCCTAAATTTATGCGGTGCCTAACTGTCAAACAACACCAAATAAACATTTATCAACTACTTTCTGGTTCGGTCCCGTGATATCTGGTCTAATCCATTTACAGCTCTAATATGAGAGAGATTCTACTAGCATATTCTTCATTAATTAAAACAAAAATAAGAATAAAAAGAAAAAAGAAAACAATCAAAGCTAGAGGCACCAAAGAACATGAGCAAGGTCAAAGGTCACTGGACTATTTTTTTTTTTTTTTCTTAATATATAAAGAAATACAACCTTCCTGTAAGGGTCCAAAGCACGAGATATGCATGTGAGTTGAAGCAAAACACATGCTGCCTTCACAAAATATATCTGTGATATGGAATGTTTAAACGCAACCCACAGGAATCTTCTTGGCCCTCTCGCAGGTTCGATTCAACAACTCATTTCCCTCTCTCTCTCTGTGTGTTAAATATTTATGAAACCATAAAAAACTCACCCTACAACACTAATTGTCTTTTTCTCTTGTCTCTGATTATCCAGGAACATAACCACGGTTGGTAAATCCTGATGCCGCCCACTGAAACGCCTGACACTGAATCGTACTGGATCCGGTCGGGTTCTGGCACATGGATCAACGTCAAGGAGATGGGTGCCACTAGTTTACTTCCAACATTAATTCCAATTTCTAACCCAACCCAATGGGTTCTGTAATCTGTATGGTTTGATATTTTTTTATATACACTCACAAAGATATTTATAATGGAGGGTAAGAATTCTCAGCTTTTTTTTTTAACCGTTGCATTGGGAATATATTCGAGTCCGGACCTCCTACCCATACAAACTATGCTAAACTATGCTCACGTCTACCCATGTAACATAAAGAATATTTCATCCTTCTAGGGGGAGATGTTTCCAATTCATTGTAGATGTGCATGTGAGACGCCCAAATGTGAGGAGCAGATCCTGTCTCGTGTATAGTATATTGAACAATGTGGCAAATATACATGTCACAGATATAGTACATTTGCACGGTGGCAATGGAAAAATTTGGGTTGACAAGTGTGAGAATGCTTATAAATGGCCAATTTCTACTAAAATTGCTAAAAATCAAGTTCTTATCCAAATCTATTCCTTTCAAATAAGGGTGTCAATGGACTGGTTTTGGATTGGACCCCATCCAGTCCAAAATCAATTTAGACGGATTGGAGGGACCAACAAGACATATTGGATTGGACCAATCCAGTCCAAAATATTTATTAGATTGGATTGGACCTGGTCCATCCATAATAAATTTATATTGAATTGGGTTGGACTAAACCAATATCTGATCCATTGATATGAGATAAGAAAGTGTCAATGATCCGGGTTTAGGTATCAATCTAAATTAAAACAAATTTAAACGGATTGGACGATCCAGAGCCGGCTCAAAATATTCATTGGATTGGATTGGACCTGGTCTATTTGTAATGGATTCACATTGGACTGGATCGGATTGGACCAAATCCAATCCAATTGACACCCCTACTCCCAAGATCTTTTGAGACCATTCTGATTCCACAACCTATTCTGTCCGTTGGACAACCAAATAATTTCCCAGCACACGGTCCCAACAACATCCCAGCAAACCATTGTAGCCGTACATCATGCATGGAAAACATCTCGCCATCACTGGATATTGGGACCAGATCCGAACTCCAAATAAGGTGCCAAAGGATGGGATTTCCTGCCCACTACCCTCCGGATTCGAAACTGTTTTTTTGTACATATCCATAATCCGAATGACTTATGCCAAATGGAGGTTCGGCTCTTGGAATCTATATGGAAGGCTTTTTTTCTTTATAAAAGTTATGTAAATGTGGTCATTCATGTCCACTCCAATTACATGGATATTCATTTGATTGAATTCATATCCGATCCATTTGACAAAAAACGGATCCGAATCCAATCTCAAAGGGAATACAGATTTGGTCCTCACAAAATTTGTCATTAGACAGTTCTCTCAATAATTGCAGCTATGGATTGGAAACATCTACCCATGAATGAAAAAATATAAGGTTCATTTGGTTTGCAGTTGGAATTAGAATCCTCCGGAATCAGAATGGGAATGGTCCATTCCCATAATTTGTCATTAGACAGTTCTCTCAATAATTGCAGCTATGGATTGGAAACATCTACCCATGAATGAAAAAATATAAGGTTCATTTGGTTTGCAGTTGGAATTAGAATCCTCCGGAATCAGAATGGGAATGGTCCATTCCCATAATATGTTTGGTTCAGACATGAATGGAAATATAAATTATAATCAAAAGGAATATGATTTCATTCTCAACTTCCAATAGAGGAGCAGGGAATGGCCATTCCGTCAAACGGGAAAATGCCATTCCAGTAGAAATAAAAAAGAGATTTCAATTTCATCCAACCAAAATAGCCCATTTTGATTCCGATTCCAAACCCCTATTCCTGCAAACCAAGTGGGGCCTAAGTATAGGAATATTTTTAATACACGGCCTAGAGGGCTGAACCCCTTCTCAATTGCAGATAGTCATTGGGTACCCACTTGTTTCATTTGGAATTCGATCTTATAAATTATTTTCAATTCACTTTGTTAATAAAATATGGTCCTTTGGTTCCTTGGAACAGGTACCTATTGGAACCATTTGTTTGGTTGGAATAGCATTCCAGTTTCATTCTTGGCAGAATTGGATTCCCCTATATAGGGGAGTGGCCATTCTAGGTTCCCCTTGTGGAGTTTGACAAAAACCCCAAAACCCTAATATTAATAAAATAATAATATGTTAAACAGTAATAATACTATGTAAATAAAATATTTATATAATATAATTAAAATAATAATAGACAATAATATATTAATTATTAAATAATAATAAATTAATATTAAAATAATAAAAACAAAAACAATAAAATATTAATAAAGTACTAATCAAATAATAAATTCTTAATAAACTAGTAAATAAATATTAGTAAAGTAATATCAAAATAATGTTATTATTAATAAAATGTTCATAAATTAATAATAAATACTAAGACATTGATTATTAAATACTAATAAAATACTAATATAATAATAAAATATTAATAAACTAATACAAAATCGAAATTTTTTGTTGATTCCGATTTTGACACCACATATACCAAACAACAATAATTAGAATCCAATTTCGATTCTTATTTGAACCAAATTGGGAATAGGTGATTCTAATTTCGTACGGAACTACGAGCCAATTGGACCATACAATATTAAAACCATTTTAATTCATTTTACTAATAATATATAATACTTTACTCATTTTTAATTTAATTTGTGGGAAATTGTCTAAAACTCACCATGAGTTTTCAACATTTCTTTTAAACTCACAACAACTTTTCAAAATGTATTTGCACCGTACATATTTGCATTTGTATTTTTTCCAGACTAAGCCTAAGTTTTTATTTTTCAAAACTCACATTTCGTGAGTGTACAATTAATGCTTCTTAACAGGAGTGTCCATGTTAGCATAAATAACAATTTTCATGACCAAATTACCCTTGAATGGTGAGTTAGAAGAAAAATGGTCTTTTTCAATTTTCAACTTTCTTGTTTTTTTTTTTGCATTTTTAGTGTTTTGTTATGATTTTCAATGTTTTTTATAATTTCTGTTTTTTGACATTTTTCTATTTTATATAATCTATAAATTTTCCTGTATATTTTTTATTTATTTGCAATTTCTGTGTTTTTTCTACAATTTTTATTTTCTGATTTTTTTTCAATTTCTATAGTTTCTATAATTTGAAAATATTTTTTATATTATTTGTAATTTCTATAATTTTTATATTTTTTGTATTTTATATTTGAATATATTTTTTTGAACTTTTTTCGTTTTTTATGTCTAAATATTAAAATGTTAATATATTAACACCCGTTAATTTATTTTGTATATATTTTATATTTTTTATGAAAATTAAAAATGATAATATATTAACACCTGTTAATCTGATTATCGGGTGAATTTTAGACATTTTAAAAAGTTGTGATGACTTTAAGAAAAATCTGAAAATTTATAGTGAATTTTAGACAAATTTCCTTAATTTATTAACCATCAAAACTCATTGCAATCCAAATTCAATTTGAATCCGATATAAACCGAATCCGATTCCAATTCCAATATAATCGAATCAAATTTGGATATCCACATAAATCGATCCGTTTGCAACCCTAATACGAATATACGATCTCTGATATGAATCACATTGCCACGTGATACCCACGTGCGATACTTTTATAAGCAACAATGATGTCCACGTGATGTACGAAGGACAGCAACAAAATACGGACGGCAATTTGATCTTTGGTGGGTCCCACTAACGAGCATTTAGAGGAGGGAATGAAAGGGACGACTGGAGAAACAGTTCCAGCGAGAGAGTGGGAGAGAAGTGAGCGGGAGGAGAAAGAGCGTGAGAGTGAGACACTCACCCACGATAGTACTTCTCTTGAGGTACTACCGACATTCTCTTTTTTCTTTGTTTGATATGATTCAGTTGATAATTTTTTATTTTTTGCTTGATTTTCGTATTGCATTTCTGATTGATTCTTGTGTTTTTTTTGTTCATAAAAATATTGGGTTTGTCTGATTTTGATCTTCCATTGTGGTCTCGGTGAGGAATAGTTTTGTCTTTGATGGATTTGAAACCATGAATGAATGAAGCTTTAATAAGCGTTTAAGGAAAATCTGGAATTCAGTGGGTTGCCCCAAATGGTTGGGATTAAGGTTGAGATTAGTTGTGTATCTAGAAACCAGTAGTTTAGTTGTGGCGATTTCTGTTGTGTAGGTCTCTGCGTCTCTTACTCTTTTGTTCATCGATTGGAAACACATAAGGAAATGTTGAGGTCAGATGGCTTGTTTCATGTGTGGTGATATTTTTCCTTACGGGAGATTCGATACAGCCCGTGTTTGAACAAGTTCAATTTGCATTATCGATCTAGACCAATTGAAATTCCTTTAATGTAGTTCTCAACCGTGATGGTTTATTTAGAAAAATTTCTTCCTTTCTTATGCATATTCATATTTCTTTTGAAAAGGGCTATTACCTGGAGCGCTTTCTTGTTACAAGGGATAAATGCTTTTACCGTGTGCTGTTGAAAAGGGTTCTTCTTATGAGGTTGGTACGAATTTAAATCAATGTTTTGTTGAACATCACAAATTTCTTTTGTTGTATAGAGTTGGTACAGGTGAATGACTATAGGGGGAAGCAGTGATTTTCTTTCTTTAAATATAGAGGGGTTAGTGAAAGATGGCAGATCGAGATTTCAAAACAAGAGTAATTTACCTGGGAACGAGAATGTGTAGAGATAGGAGGGGGTGGAAGAAAGAAGATGAATTTTACTGTTCTATAAAACATACTTCCTTTTCCTTGCCTTGCCTTTTTTATCTTTTATCTTTTCCCCTCTTTGCAATCATAAGAAAAGACAAGGTTACTTTTTCTGTCTTCTTTATTGGAAAAAGTGAAGGTTGCATGATCAATGTTGCGTGGAGTCTCCTAAACAGATGATGTGTCTCTGTTGGACATGTGTCAGATTCCAACACTCATGGGTTCTTCTGGGAGGCTTTTAAATGCCAATTTTCTTTTTTCTTTTTCCTAGCTTATTTGGCATAAATGAACAGGTAATGTACATGGTGACTTCCATCTTTCCTAGAGAACATCAATAATTAGGAAATATAAAACATTAGACTTTCTGCGGATAGTGATGTTTGAATTCAAAATATATAGGCTAGTTTAATAGCATATAATTTTCTTTCTCCATGGCAAGAGTCCATGTTTTTAGTTGCAATTCAGTATTTCAATGAGTTTTGACCTCCTCCAAAATGAACGTTAAGGGTATGTTTAGTTTCATAGAAAATAATAAAGAAACAGAAAGTTAAAGGAAAGCTCTTAACAAATTTTGAGAAATTACTTAGAACTTTCCCTCAAATTTCTGTTTCTCTCTTATTTTCTGTCAAACCAAACAAAGCCTAAAGGAAGTCACTAAGGTTTTCCTTTCTTATTTTTCCTCTTCTTTCCTTGTGTAAATCTGGTTAGTTCCCATTTCTTCTACTTCCGTTTTAAACCTCTTTAAATCTTTTCTACTTCATTTAAATTTTTAAGTACCTCGAATTCCATCCATATTTGCTTTGCTTTCATACGGAATTGGAAGGAAATGTTGAAACCTTTAAAATTGGAGGAAATTTAAAACCTTTCTCACCGAGGCTGCAGGTGTATGCTTATGCTTTGTCAATTTTGACATTGGTAATATCCACCATGGTTTCCTTTCTTTCCCTTTTAGCTTCTAGTGATGATGGTCAACCATGGTTTCCTAGTTTGGAACCTGTAAAGCTGCCTCATACAGTGATGCCCTCATAGAAGCATCAGTAATTGAATAAATTTATGCCTTTTGGACATTTTTTTTTTCTCTTTTGGATGTGACCAGGGTCAAACCCAAGATCAGAGATGTGTAATGTGTGGTCAGGATGTGGAGAATAAAAGTCACCTGTTTCTTCACTGCCCCATCTCTGCTAAGATTTGGAACCATTATATTTCTGCTCTGGGTCTTGCTTGGGTTATGCCTGGTTCAGTAAAGGAGATGTTATGGATCTGGGGCTGTCAAAGCTTGCTGCTGCTGTATGGATGTCCATTCCAGCTGCTGTAATTAGCACCATTTGGGCAGAAAGGAACAAAAGGCTTTTCCAAAATATTGCCAGAGATCAGGAGAATCTTATTACCGATTTCAGTTGGTAAATTGATCTCTTGGATTTTGACAGCAAAGGGGATTCAGGCCTCTCAATTGGCTAGACTGAATTCAAGGAACTTTTGGTATTTGTAATCTTGTTGTTTTTCCTGCCCCCCCTACCAGGGAGTTTTCCTTGGGGGGTTCCTTTGTACTATTATTTCTGTTCTTAATAAAATTACCTTACCTTTTCTCAAAAAAAAAAGACTCTATTGCCACATGGTTGAGGCTTTTCTTTTATTTATATACATATTTTTGAAAGTGGTAAGGTATTATTTATTAAGAAAATGAAAATAGCATACAAGGTTTAAAAGAGTGACTTTTCTTATTTCTAATATCACCTACAATATATGGTTGAGAAATATTGAATATAAATTTTCTAGTGAAAATTGGAAATGGAAAATTTACCCAACATTATCAGAGCTGAAACATAAAATTTTGAAGAGTTACTTGCTCCATTTTCCCTTATGGACTTAGAGTTTGCTACCATTGTTATGACTACCACTATCTGACGAAGTATTAATCCTACATTTTTTTTTTGTTATCTTAAGCATTATTTGTTTTTAAGAGTGAATAGGATAAAAAATCTTATTTAAGATTCTTATAGCTTTGTCATTTGTGGTTACCATTTTAATATTATTGAAGTGACAATTAAATACTATGGTTCTCTATTTCCTTGAAGATGACAAAAAATTAGTGTCTTTAACAATGAAAATTATATGCGAAGCCCATGTTCTATATTTTTGCAATAAGGCAGTCTTTGTCCCTTAGTATAAGGTGATCTACTAGTTATTATGTATTGGATCAACCATCTCTCCCTCTCTTCTTTTTCCTTTCCCTTTTCTTCTTTTTTCATCTGGATTAGATTCCTGACATTTCATAGCATGCATGAAAGAAGTAAAATTATATTTTCTCAGTCAACAACATTTGTGCAAATTATTTAGTCATCATCACTGATCATTTTATTACTATTGTATGTTATCCGGGTTCTTATCTGACTCACATATTTCTGAATCAATTTATTGTCATAATTGAACAAATTTTTTATTTTTTGAGCTAGAAAATGATTCAATTGGTTTGGGAGTTCTAATATTGAAATAGAGGTATCAGTGACATCCACCAGGGATTTCATGTTTCCAACTTGCATGACGGCCTTACATGAGGCTTGACAGGTGTATCAATGATTGATAAGTTCATCCTTTTGGATGTTAGAACAGCTCTAAGGCCCTGTTAATTCCATTGGCTACCATAGCATCATCTGGATAATTTTATTTTAGATTTTTTCAATGCAAATATGGAAGCAAAGAAAGGAATAGAAGACAAGAGATTGAAGTCAACCTGCAGAATGCAGCATCAACCAGAAAAAAGTGACTAATTTAGCCAGTCAAACCTTGTTTGATTTGGCTGAAGTTTGGTGGCATTAAAGTACACTTACAGTACAATAATATAGAATTTCATATCAATCCAACATATGGAAGTACCTCAAATAAATACTTTAAGTTGGTTGACTTTTTGGTTTTGCTAGTCACGGTCAAAATCTTAGCCAACAAGTTGACCAGTAAACCATGTTAGTATTTGTAGTAATTTTTGTCATTACTATTTATAGTAAAAGATGACTGACCATTTTTAGTAATTTTGGGTTTCTTATGCTTGGTGGAATTAGAGTTATAGTGTCCTGGTTTGAAAATGGAGTTTCTACATTTTATTTGTAGTTTGAATACAAGTAGGAGTTAGAGTCTTAGAATTCAAATAGGAGTTAGAAATTGCTACTTTGGGTCAATAAAAGAGTGTCAATAGGCCTTGTAGAGAACAATCTATCCATCCATTTGAATAAAGAATTTTCTTTTCTATTTCTGCCATAGCCTGCAGCTATAGTAGAACTAATTTTTGCTTCCTCTTCTATTTTGTCTTCTTTATTGCTTGTTAATTAATACTTGTGACTGAAGCCTATTACTAAATCCAATTATTTTGAAAAGAATTCGAAAATGGAACATTTACCCAAATCATGAATATTATCAAGGGCCAAATATAAAATGTTGTAGAACTAGCAGTGATCCTTTGCCTTCTAAATAAAGACCCTCAAAACAGATTACTGTTCAGGTAGCCACACTCCAATCAACACTTCATGTCTACTGTCATACTGTGTATCAAGTTCTTTCTGGGCTTTGAGTTGACTAAATTCTCTTTGAATTGAGTATTGTTTAACATGAATAAGTATGTAGTCATCTCCACATTTGTGAAGGAGTGTTTTTGTTTAAAGGCATGGAACTCTGTGGCACTCTTTATAGAGGTGAGGGACTAACTTAACAATTTATTTCTTTTAGGAATGGACATGTAGGAAGGTCAAATGGGTGGGAAAGATTTTAGGAGGGGATAGAGGTGGAAGGGTTACTTATCTTTTCATATGGGATCATAGTTGTCAAGGTGTTACCTAGGCACCTGCTGAGGTGTTGCCTATATATATATAGGCAACTAGGTGACCACCTTGGTGATAAGGTGCCTTGTTAGGCCACAAAAATAACAGGGTCAACACCTTATTATAATATCATTCATATTGCTAAATCTTACTAATATTTGTATTAATACATTCTATTATATACTACGTATATCATATATGCTTTGCTTCAAAGCTTCACTATTGAAATTAAAAAGATCAAAGGGTTTTGAGAAATGGAAAGAAAGAATAGAAGTGTAAAATGGTTTTCTTATTCTCTCTTTCTCTTACATTAAATAAAACTACACCTCCATCTGTGTTTATTTTTTTTTCTCTTTTACTTTCCATCTTGAATTTTATCATGTAAAGTTATAGCCTTCTTTAGTTTCTTATAGATATTAAATTGCTCTATAGTACTACTTTTATTTTTGAAAATGTTGAAATTAATATATTTAAAATGTTTTTATCTTCTGGATACGATGATTTGCCATGTTTTGAGAGGAAACTTTAATGTTCTTAATAAAGAGAATGCTATTTTTCTCCATTAGTATACATGTTGAATGGTAAATAAAATTAGGAAACCAGCCATTTATTTTATAAAATTCTTAATCACCTAAGCATCTATGATCCATCTAGGTGATTAGATGACCTAGTGTCACCAAGAATTGCCTAAACATCTTGGCAACTATGTATAGGATGGGAGAATTTTTGGAGGAGAGAGAAAGTTAAACTGGAAGAGAGATTTTAGAGTTTCTATGCAAGAATGAAGGAGAATGAATCCCGCATCTTTGTTAAAAAAGACCACAAGATTGGACAATTCGGAAGCTTAGTTCCTTGGATCTTGCAATCTTATCCCTGAAGGTGATTGGAAATGGCTTTTACATCACATGAGAAATTTACATATTCTGACAATAGATCGGATTTGTTTGGTGATGGATTTCTTCTGAGAATGAAGGGATCCTTTTGTTACATGTACAACCGACCATTCATGATCTGACGATTACTGCCATCCTTTTTCCAATTTATTACATAAAGCAAGTAAGAAAGTATAGCTTTTAGCATTCAGGATGGAACATGTTCTGAAAATTATTTGTGGAAGTTGCTTTCTGCTGTAAATTTGACGGATGCTCTGTTTTTTTCAGGCCCAGATTTCTATCCAAAAGAAGTAACAAATAACAATGGGTGGCGGTGGCCGAATGTCTGTTCCCACCCCCAGGAAGGAAAAGCATGATGCCCTTAACCGAGTGCCACACTCAAAGCCTCCATTTATGCTAAGTGAGATTAAGAAAGCTATACCACCTCACTGTTTCCAACGCTCTGTGCTTCGCTCCTTTTCCTATGCTGTCTACGACCTTGCCCTTGCATTTGCATTTTATTACATTGCTACTTCTTACTTCCACCTCTTACCTCATCCACTTTCCTACTTTGCCTGGCCTATCTACTGGGCTCTACAAGGCTGTGTCCTTACTGGTGTGTGGGTCATAGCCCATGAATGTGGCCACCATGCATTCAGTGACTACCAATGGCTTGATGATATAGTTGGACTTATCCTCCACTCTTCCCTTCTTGTTCCTTACTTCTCTTGGAAGTACAGTCATCGCCGCCACCACTCAAACACTGGATCACTTGAACGTGATGAGGTCTTCGTCCCAAAGCCCAAATCAAATATTCCATGGTATTCAAAGTACCTGAACAACCCACTTGGTCGTGTCCTCTCACTTGCAATTACTCTCACCCTTGGATGGCCATTATACTTGGCATTCAATGTGTCTGGCCGTCACTATGACCGTTTTGCCTGCCATTATGATCCTTATGGTCCAATTTACTCTGACCGTGAACGAATTCAGATATACATTTCTGATGCAGGTGTCCTTGCAGTCACTTACGGACTCTTCTGCCTTGTGGCCATGAAAGGGTTGTCTTGGGTCATCTGCATATATGGTGTTCCATTGTTGATCGTGAATGGGTTCCTTGTCACTATCACCTACTTGCAGCACACTCACCCCTCTCTACCACACTATGACTCATCTGAGTGGGACTGGCTAAGGGGAGCATTAGCAACTGTGGATAGGGATTATGGGGTGCTGAACAAGGTATTTCACAACATTACAGACACACATGTTGCACACCATTTATTCTCGACAATGCCACATTATCATGCAATGGAGGCAACTAAAGCAATTAAGCCAATACTTGGTAAGTACTACCAGTTCGACGGAACACCATTTTACAAGGCAATGTGGAGGGAGGCAAGGGAGTGCCTTTATGTTGAGCCTGATGAGAATTTGCAGGAAAGAGGTGTCTTCTGGTACAGGAACAAGTTTTGACACAAGATGAAGATCAGGAACACAGTGAGGATAATGGTGACAAAAACTGTTAGGAATCTTTCATTTGGTGAGATAGGATAGGAATAGATTGGCTTCCATTCCCCGTGGTCTGTGGACTGTGGTACTTAATCCATGTAGAATAAATGGTTTTGTTTTTGTGTTGCTACTTCGTAGGAACTTTGTGTCGCCAACAGTAAGCAGAAATAAGTGAGTGGGCGTTTAGACGCTGGAAGTGGAATGAAATCATTTCATTCTGACTAATTATCCTTCACATTTTGAAGCTCGAGTTTATTATCTAAAACAGTGTTCAAGAAATAATAAAAATTCTAACAAATGCACCGATCAGATCTTTGTTCGGATTTTTAAACATTGAAAGTTTGAAACTCTTTTTTTGGTCATATTTGGATGAGGATTCCTTTGAATGCTCAAATGCCAAGACCCTGCTTGGATGCCACATGAACTAAAATCATTTTTCATTTTCATTTTCACTTGGTTTATGGCTTGTTGCAGGCTGCTAATAAAGACGTTGGGGAAGTTTATTTTATAAGCAAATCTATTTTAACTTCATTTGTGTATTTTGTTGAATTGTTAAGGTGCTGTTTGGCAAGTCTTTTTAAGATCTTCCCACAGTGATGGTTAAAAGATGTAATGAGCTTTTTAAGGTCTTGTCTATAATGATGTAGACAAACGGTAAGTATCATAGTCTATTATGATTTACAGCGACGGAAAACTTCATTTGAAGCTTCCAGATTTTTAGCTATTTTGGGCTTATGTGAACTTTTTAAGGTGCAGGTATTTTGGTCTTCCAAGCTTTGAAAAGCCCTATGCATCAGATGATACATACATGTTCTATGTAAGATTCGTATATTACAAATGCCCAACCTAATACTTATAATGATTTAAATCTGGTTGAGAATGTTGGGTTTGGTCTTGTGGCTTGGTTAGCCTTGGTTGAGTTGTAAATTCAACCAACCTGAATCTGAATTTCACTTGGGAAAAAGCATGGTTTTTCAATCGGACCGGAAAAATCGGGAACTGGGAATCGGTCACCTCACCGGTTTCATTTTTCCCCAAAACCGCTTTTTTTTCAAAATCGTTGATTTTGGTCAGAAAACCGCTGAACTGATTGGTTAACCGTTTGAATGGTTATGACTGTTTTTCAAATTTTTTTTTATTTTTTTGTCAGAACGGACTGACCGTTCAACCCGGTAACCGGACCCCTGACTAGTTCAGTTGCCGGGTCGGTTTAAAAAACCATAGGAAAAAGGCAGTTTAGCCTATAGGAAAACAAATTGGAGGCTATGAGCAATTTCATTCATGGATTAGTGTTTATGTTTCCAATGCGCTAAACATTAAACCTGGCTGTGTTCAGAATGCTTTTAGAGAATTAATTCTAATGATCTTTGTGATTCTATGAGACACTTTTAAGTTTGAATTTGGAAAAGACTTTGGAATTTATTCTTTTATTGGTTCAAAACTCATTTTGAGAATTTATTCCTTAAAGTGAAAGAAAATTAGCTTAAAAAAAGTGGACACAGATTAAATCTGAATCGACCCAATTCAATATCCCTAGATCCAATTGGAATTTTTGATCAAATTTATTTCAAGTTTTGCTATAGGTTTGGACATGAATCTTGTTGGATCCCATTTGAATCTAGGGGTGTCAAGCTTTTCACGAGCTATTCAAGTTCGGCTCATGAAAAGCTCGATTCGGTTCGGTCTAAATCAAGTTTCAAGCCAAGATTGAGCCCAATAATTATATATATACACACATATACATACATACATTTATAATATATATTATACATATAAAAAATAATTATATGTATATATTATTTTTATAAAACGTTTGACTCATAGTCAAGTTCAAGTTGAGCCGAACTCGAACTTGTGAACTTTTGTCTCGAGCCAAATTTGAGTTCAAGGCTCTATCAATCGAGTTCGAGCTTGAACCTGATAGTTTATTGACGATCTGAGCTCGAATAATCAGATATTCAACTCGGTTTAACTCAAATCCACCCGATTTGAGTCCAACCCAATTACCGTCCTATCAAATATTCAATAGAGTTAATAAGACAATTTAACAAAGTGATTGAGAGAAGGAAAAAATAATGTCTTGAATTGAACTATTGAGAGAAGATAGAGTCATTCACATGATTTAATAAAGAAAGATAATGTGAGTTAATTAAATAAAGAAATTTGAATTTAAATTAATAACTCAAATAAATGAGTTAAGGGGAGGGAGGGAATGGGACTCAACGAAAGAGAATACGAATAAACAAAATTGAATTTGAAAAGTTTTAGAAAATAGGAGTATTTAGCAATAAATCTGACATCAACTGAAATAGACGATGGGATCTGCTACAGGAAAAAACTCTACACATACTCTACAAATATGGGCATCCGGTAGTGCATTGAGAACATGAATTTAATTAGGTATCATTTGGCAAATCTTTTCAAAAATATCTTCTAACACCTTAAATAGCCAAAAGATGTAATGGACTTTTGGGGTCTTGTTTTTAATGATCTAGATTATTTGGTAAGTATTCTAGTCTACCATGGTCTATAGAGCTATTAAATGAAAGATTTTAGGTATGAGAGGTAGTTAACTACCCCAAAGGTATTAATCAACTAATTGTGACAGCCAAGTCATAAAATGCTTGACTGTGAGACATAGCCAACTACCCCAAAAGGCATAATTGACTACCTATGACAGTCAAGGCAAAAATGCCCTGTTAAAGATGAATAGTTGACTATCCAAAAATGCATAGTCGACTAACCCATACAAACCGAGTTTAAACTAGTATCAATCGACTGATAGGAGGATCTATTCGACTAGAAGAGAAAAAGACTCCTTCCTTCTTTTAGTAGGTAACTACCAGATTTAACATTCAACTACTTCAAAGAAATTTTGACTGTTTGAATGCTTAAATGGCTATTACTATCTTTGGTAAGCCTTTTACCATGTTGAAGTATATTTGAATCATTACTAAGATTGGAAAGAATCCTCCAATGGCTAGGAAATGGTCACTTGCTCTATAGACCTCAATAAATAAAGGTGATCGACTTGAATCAAAAACAAGAAGAAGAAAACTAAGAGAAACAGCTTATGCTTTTAGTTTACATAGTCTTTAGTTGTTTTAGTAGAGAGCAAGTTAACAGAAGTCTTTTATGCCTTGAAGAGATTCTAAGTTTTAATAGTTTTAAAGGTGAGAGCTAAGAAGCCTTTGTGCTCATACAATCTTACCCATCTATTAAGTGTCTCTTCTTAGATCTAAGCATCTTGAGACGAACACTTGCAACTCAAACAATTTTTGTGTTGCATATTGCTTATATTTGGCTAGTCTAGAGGCTTATTGTAACCTCACACTTTGTGCTTTATCTATAATATCTTGAGTGTAGGAGGTTTTCTTAATTGAACACCATTAAGGTTCTATTGGAACCCGGAAGTCCAATAAAAGGTTTGGTAGACACCCCACATGTTCTACCAATTAGGTCTTATTGGCACCCATAAGTCCAACTCTTAAGGTCTTGTTGGCAACTACCAACTATAAAGGTATTACAGGCACCCATAACCCTTGCTGATTGTAAGGCTTTTTTAGTGCATAAAAATCCAACTTATTAGTGAAAATCCTCAAAGGAGATCTAAGGTAGAGGATGTAAGCAAGGGATTCTATCAAACCTCTATAAAATCTTGTGTGTCTTGAATCTGTTCTTTTATTGCTTTATCCTTTTTTTTTTTAGTTTTTGCAGTTATGTTGTTTCTAACATTGATTTATTTTCTAACTAACTGCTTAAACTTACATATCTGAATATCTTGCAGTTATTGCATGTTAATTTTCATTTGAACCACAAGATACAGATATCTTGGTGCAGCTATTATTGTGCTATTAACTTCACTAACCCTATTAATTGCACTAACATCTTGGTCCAATAGTTTTTGTGCTGCATTACTTACTAACTCTCACCAACTACTAACCATTTACTTTTAACTACTTTACATTTACTTTATTATAGTTGTTTACATTCAATGTTTCATTTAATATTCAATTGTATCATTTATTTTCAGTAGTTAATTTGTCTTTGAGATTTCAGTAATTAATCCAATATATTATTGGTTCTTCTCACAACTATTACTTTGTAGTTGGTCCTACATCTCCAACTACACAGATCGACACACACTTTTTGTGCAACTACAATTTACATTTTTCTGTATTTAGTTTTAATTGCCTTTATATTTCGTAGTTAGTTAAATTTATTGTTTATCCTTTATATTAACACTTTATAGTAGCTCATTTGTTTCATTATTACATTTACTTACAACTGCTATTTACGTTCAAGCAGTTACTTGCTTATTATCTTATATATGTCTAACTACTAATCCCTAAGCTTCTGTGTTTATATTGCTTATTTGTTTGAAGTTGTAGTTCTTTGTTCAGCAATAAAGTTAATCACATTGAGTAATCTTCTAAATAATTATTGAATACACAGGCTAAACCTTTATTCCGTTGCTACTTGATTTGAATCTTCAATAAGGCTTAGCTTTAATTTTCGGGGAAGGTATTTGAGCTTAATCTATTCAAAGTTTTAAGTTATACCCAATTCACCCCCTCTTGGGTATGGTCATAGCTCCCAACAAATGGGTGCTTAGGCCCTACCCTCTTAGCACCCCAAGGGACATTGGCAAGAAAAAATTGTAAGAAGGATGAACCTAGAAAATCTAATTTTAGTTTGGTGATTGGTATAAGAGGACCAAAGATCCTTCCCTTTTACAATTTGATATTTGGAAGAGAATAATTGGGTATTCTAGGTGCATTTGAAAAAGCATAAGGGAAAATAATTAATTTTAACATATCCAAAATATTTTTATTAAAAAACCTTCAAGGGAGATTGAAGAGAATAATTGCAAGATGCATGAGTATGGTCGAGAAAAATATTTAGGATTACCCATTATTCAAAATAAAAGGGATAAATCAAATATGAACTTCATCTTTGATAAAATGAGAGAGAATGAGGAGTGAAAGTAGAGGTGTTAATTGGATTGGATTTGGTCAAACCCGATCCAGTCCAATGTGAGTTCATTTACAAATGGACTAGACCCAATCCAGTCCAAATCCAATCCAAACCAAATGAAATATAAAAAATTATATAAAAAAACAAAACATATAAAAAATTACAAAAATATATTAAAATGAAAAAGATCTGAAAATTACAAAAATATACCCTTTTGGCATTGAAAATGCACTTTTGTAAAAGTGCTTTCGTAAAAGTACTTTTATAAAAGTACTTCAATGCAAGTGCTTTTGTAAAAGTACTTTCGTAGAAGTGTTTTTATAAAAGTGCTGCTGTAAAAATGCTTTCGTAAAACTACTTTTATAAAATTACTTTTGTAAAAGTATTTTTGTAAAAGGGCTTTTATAAAAGTACTTTCATAAAAGTGCTTTTATAAAAGTACTTCCGTAAAGTGCTTTCGTAAAAATTCTTTTATAAAATTACTTTCACAAAAGTGCTTTTATAAAAGTACTTTTGTAAAAGTGATTTCATAAAAGAACTTTCATGTAAAAGTACTTTTATAAAGTGCTTTCATAAAAGTATTTTTCATAAAATTACTTTTATAAAAGTGCTTTTGTAAAAATGTTTTCGTAAAAGTGATTTCATAAAAAGTACTTTCATAAAAGTGCTTTTATGCCGACTTCAGTTATGATCGGTTTCAAATTGAACAAGGGTTTGGTTTAGGTCCAATTTAAAAGTGCTTTCATGTAAAAGTACTTTTATAAAAGTGCTTTCGTAAAAGTACTTTTGTAAAAGTGCTTTCATAAAACTATTTTTTGTAAAAGTGCTTCGTAAAAGTATTTTTCATAAAATTACTTTTATAAAAGTGCTTTTGTAAAAATGTTTTCGTAAAAGTGCTTTTGTAAAAATGTTTTCGTAAAAGTGCTTTTGTAAAAATGTTTTCGTAAAAGTGCTTTCATAAAAAGTACTTTCATAAAAGTGCTTTTATGTCGACTTCAGTTATGATCGGTTTCAAATTGAACAAGGGTTTGGCCTCATGATCGGATTATTGAAAATTTGGTTTAGGTCCAATTTAGACCAATAAGAATATGGGCCAATTTATTTTGGATTGGTCTAATCCAATAATTATAATGGACTGTCCAGATCCGATTTGATAAGGTTTGGATTGGATTGGATCCAATCCAAAACCAGACAATTAACACCCCTATGTGAACGTCAAATATGCTTTCAAAAGTGGCAAGGTAGTTCTTATCAAATAAGCTCATAGTTTGTTTTCGGTTTATCAAATGATGTGCTTCCCCTTGAATCCTTCATATATGTTTGGCATCGATGTTGCAGATACAACACCGTTTTCTCATGTAAGACGTTAGAAGCACTGTTTTCTGAGAAAACAATGTCTTTTTTTTAGAAACATTGCTGCCAGGTAGGACATTTCCTGGAGCAACAACAACGTTTTCTATTTGGTACCAGTGCTCTAGGAAACATTTTCAGCACTGGTACCTATTATCCAATGCCACATCATGTCCCTATCACTACCACCTCTTGTCCCTGTTGGCAGCAATGAGCTGCAGCTCCAGAAAATGCAAAATTTGGCATTGCTCCAGAAAACGCTTACCCTTGGAGTACTGTTTTTATGGAAAAACGGTTTGGAGCACCATTTTTTCCAACGTAGCACTGATATATCGCTGTTTTTTTGAGGAACGACATCGATGCTAAACAGACGCTTCATGTCTTAAGGAAATTAACAAAATTAAGAGAATGTTCTTTTGGCGTGGCAAATCAAGTAACAAACCTTTGCTTGGACCAATTAGAGGAATATTTGCAAACCTATTAGCCATGGAGGATTAGGAGTTAGGAAGGCAACTAATATAAAAATAATCTATGCATGGGTTCATGTGTGCAAGGCCAAATATTTAAATAGCAACGATTTTCTCTCATGTTGAAAGAGAGCTTCCAATTCATTGGTTTGGAATGGGATTCTTGAGGCTAGAAATCTTATATATTCATTATATATAAATATATACTTATATTATATTTATAATGAACTATTTATAAATATATCATTTATTACTTATAATATAATATTATACATATATTTATATAATATATATTATAAATATAAAAACTGAAAAACCGAAGAACCAAACTGGTTAAAAACCGAAACCAATGGGCCGGTTAATCGGTGGTACCGGTTCGGTTTCGGTTTGGCAAAATGAAAAACCGGTACCACCGGTTCGGTTTACAAAAAGGGGCCATGGTTCAGTTAACCAAACCGTAGACACCCCTGGATAAAACTTGGAATTTGGGGAATATTAGGAATTTATTATCAAATGAATCAATTCAATCTATTATTAATACTTAGATCCTAGATAATCCCCAAGAGGATAAGGTTGTGTGGTAGGGTGAGTAAGAAAAACCAAAAAATAGAACCAAATTAAAAAATTGATTGAAATCGAACCGACCGGTATACATATATTTCTTTATATTTTATATATATATATTTATATTATATATTATATATATTATATTTTTATATATTATAAATTAATAAATATGCATCACATATATATTTGTAATATATATTATTATTTATTTAAAATATAATATTATATATATATTTCTATTTTTATTATATATTTATATATTTTTATAATATACACATATATATATATATATATTATAAATATAAAAAACCCAAAAAAACAGAGCAAAACCAATTCCTTTCAAGTCAGATTTTGGTTATTAATTCCTTTCCTTACATCTCTTGGATTCACCAAACCAAAGCAAAACCAATTCCTTTTCTTGTATCTCTTGGATTCACTAAATCGGAGCAAAACCAATGTTGGATGAATAGGTTTGCCTGAATGCGATGGTTGTTCGACTGATTGTGGAACCATTGATAAAATTTCACGCTAGTAATAAAATACATAGGGCACACACCAATCACAATGGAGTCCATGAATTTATTACTAGTGTGGAACCTCACCATTAGTTCTATAGTCAGTCGAACAGCCATTATGTTCAGTTCATCCGAATCCGACGAATAGGGGTGTATTTGTTCAACATGAATCATGGGTTTTATTGCCTTAAAAGTCATCAGTTGCACTCAAACTTAAAAATTTTCATCAAATGAGTTTTATTCTGAAAATTCGAAGAATGGTGGAGAATAAATTCAACATTTTATTTTTTCTATTAATATTTAACGATGATGTCAATTGTCAGAAAACTTGGGATACTTTTTAGACAATATGGGTAGAATTATTCAAATTTCTAAACCATAAGAATCGTAGTTTAAGAAAATTTCCCTTCTAATAAAGCCAAACATTTTTTTGATAGATCTAAAATCAAACCTATATGAAGTTTTAAACATTTTCCACTATGATCACATGGTTTAAGTTATCATTTTGCAAATTACAAGGGATGTTTTAATAAAACATAAATTATACTGTAGGTTTTACTACATTCGTAAAATTATAAGGGGTATTTTAGTAAATGAACAAAAAAATTATGGTAAATCCATTATAGGTCCCATTTTCTCCCGTATCCTAGCATCCGTCTTCTACGCTCTTCTTCTTCTGCTACTTATCGGATGGGGACGCCGGAGACTTCTCGAGAGCCCTGCCCGGACCGAATCCTAGACGATGTCGGCGGTGCTTTCGGCATGGGTGCCGTTGGTGGTTCATTCTTCCACTTCTTCAAAGGCGTCTACAACTCCCCAAAAGGCGAGCGTCTAATCGGCGGTTCTCAAGCCGTTCGCATGAACGCTCCCCGCGTCGGCGGCAGCTTTGCCGTCTGGGGTGGTCTCTTCTCCGTCTTCGATTGCACGATGGTCTATCTCCGACAGAAGGAAGACCCCTGGAACTCCATCATCGCTGGCGCAGCCACCGGCGGGTTCCTCCAGATGCGTCAGGGTTTCCCTGTGGCATCGAGGGCTGCGTTGTTTGGCGGGGTGTTGCTTGCTTTGATTGAAGGAGCTGGTATCATGCTCAACAAGGTTCTTAGTGCTTCTCAGAATTTTCCTCCAATGGAGGAGCCATTACCCAGTGTACCCAATCCGTCTAATTTTCCTGGGTATCCTAGTGGAAAGTTTCCGAATCAGAAATCGGCACCGACGCCAACTCTTGAAGCTTCAACAGAGGGGTCTTCTTCTTCGTCATCTTGGTTTGGGGGGTTATTTGGCGGTAAAAAGAAGCAGGAGACAGGGACTGATAATGGTAATGGAAGTAAGACGGAGGTTTTGGAAAGCTTTGATGCACCAAGTACACCAATTCCATCGTTTGAGTACAAGTAGATGACTATGGAGACTTTGTAGCGGTAAGTGAAAAGTAGAGATTTGATATTATATGTTCTAGATGGTTTTACTTTGAGCACTTGTTCTTGTTGGCTTGAATTATAATTGTGTGGAAAATATGTTGTTTATTTAAGCAATGGCAAACCAAAGGAAACCTTTTTCTCTGTTAAAATTTTATCAAATTAGTGGTATAAAAGATTATAAAATTGTAGACTATGGAGCTTTTTTTTTTAAAGGAAAGCACAAGAAGTCGGAGTGGTGGTGGTGGTTGTTTCGTTCCTGTTATTCCTTCTTCTTACAGTTTTCTAACAATAACATTTTCCTGGGGCTGGCTATAAATCTTAATCCTTGGAATCTGGTCATTGAAAGTTTTGGAAGATTTTCTCTCTAAAGGTGGCAAGATGACTCTAAATCTCTAATTCAGGGTGCCTTATCTAGGTTTTATTAGAACATGGTTCTGTGAGATAAGATAACAAAAGACTGGGGGAGGGGGGCAGATTATATATTCACAAAACAGTCTGCAATAAAGACTAAACAGCAAATCCAATAATTGTAGATATAATACGGATGATATGATATCATCTTAGCTCATCATGCTATGGTCGGTTACAATAGTCTATCTCTTATCTCTCTCACACTCCCCCCAATCTGAGATGATACAGCCAGCATCAGTTTTCCATTAGAAAGTATGTCTGTAGTTGCAATTCAATTGACACATGTGGAAGAGTGATGAGTACAACAGCATATTGATTATGAATAAAGTAACCGTCTACTTCATTATGGTATGCTTTTGTCTCTTCATGGAATACTAGATTGGAAGCAATACAAATGCAACTAGTATTGTTAGCATAGAGAAGTATGGGAGATGCCACATCAACTCTTAGATCATTCGAGAGACCTTGAAGCCATAATATATCATTGAACGCATAGGACATTGCTCTATTTTGTTGCAGCCAAGGTTTCAAGAGACAAGAGGATCTCCAAGAAAAAAATGCACCACCTTTGTTAGATAGACGAGAGTTTGGGTATACAGTTCAATCAGCATCTCTCTCTGTAAACCTTTTTTATTGGGTATTCACATCTGCATAAGCTCACAGCTAGAGTGTGAGGAGGAGAAGAAGAGTCGAAAGACCTATACTAGGTGTGACATGGAGATAACATATAATATGATGGACAGCTGTTGGATGGGGTTTGTAGGGACAAGATACAAACTAACTAACAATGTAGACCGTCATGAGAAATTCTGGGTCAAGTCGTAATCATATAGATGAGGTTTCCTGCAAGTTGATGATATAGAATAGGATCTTCAAGGGGAGGTCCATCATCTTTAGAATACTTGACATTGAGTTCCAAGGGTGTATTTCTATTGATTCACTATGTAGCCACGAGGAGATGTTCCTTGATAGCCTTATTGAATTTTTGGCTTTTTTTTTTTTATTTTTTTTTTCATTTTTGCGTCTTGCTTCAAAAAGGCGTGTGCCCTGTGCCTCGGGCGCAAAATGTCCCTTGCACTTTTTTTGCGCCTTTCACTTTTAAAATACTGCTCCAATGGCACTTCCTTCCACCATCGAACTTCAATGGAAGAGGCAATCCAAACTTTGTAAGCAATTCCATCAACAAAAACTTCTATCATCCACAGCACCATTTCTGGCCTTCTCCTACCAATTTCACTTTTGCAGCATGAAGGTCAAAGATATCAAAGAGTTCCATTTCTCTAGAGTTTTGCAATTCTAGAGAATACTTCTTCCACCCAAAGATGGAATGGTATAAGATTTTCTGAAAGATGTGTTCTGCTGGCTTGAGGGCCTTTTCATTGCTTCAATTGTCCCAACTCTGTACCATGGCTATGCCTTGTTTAGTCTCCATCGAGGTTGCAGCGAATTCTGGTAGGCTCTGCGGAAGTACAAGCAGTACCTTGTTGCCTTCAAAGGGTAAGAACTTCTAGTCACCTGTGATTTTTAACACCCCTTTTTCCTCTTCGCACAGCCCTTTCCACTGACCTACAACGTCGGCTTTTCTACCCTTTTAACAAACTGATTCTCCCTTTCAGCATAGTTACTTTCATTGCCCTTCTCAGAAGAGTAAGTGATCTTCATCCCAGCTCCTTCCTTTTCTTCTCTTTTCTCAACTACAGCTATTTGTGTGTCAGTTTTAATCTTGGAATACTCCTGTATAGCCTTTGCTACCATCGACCACCCTGAGGCTTCTCTTCCTTCTGGGAGACAAGTATATCGTTTCAGGCCTTACCCATAATACTCATACACCCCTAAATTATCAAAAAAAAAAAGGAACTCATACACCCCTATGAAACAACCTTTTCTGTTTACTTTCCTCTCCACAAAATATTTCCTTCCCTCTTCAACATGACAATGCTTCCATGTTTGGCCTGGTTCTGCTTTCTTTGCTCCTTCCAGTACCTTCTGAAACCAATCAACAGCTTGTCCTACTAGTATCAGCAAGGCTTTTCTTAGCTTCACTTTCTACAGTGCTGTGACACTTCTTGTCCACATTTCTTCCAACACAAATGTCTTAGCCTCTATCTTCAGAATCTTTCTCCATCTCCTTGCCGGTGCAAAGCTTTCTCCTTCCATTGCCGGTGCCAGCCCAGCTTTCTGATTGTAGAATTCTGTGAAAGTGAAGTATAAATCCTTGGATAGGACAAAGAGTTCACAGATCATACACCACTTGAATCCATTAAATCTTGTAATTTTACTTGAATATAATATACTTGATCTTGTCAAACCTTGTATTTTTCATGTTTTGTGCTCTCTTGCATGCAAAATGATCCAGTTGGATTTTTTTTTGATAAATATAATCCAGTTGGATTGATAACATGCATTTGTTTCTTTAAATCCTGATCCCTCCCCCTGATGGTTTATCAGCTAATTGTGGGAAGAAGTGGTTGAGTTTAACAAGTAAAATGAATTAAACCCACTTTTGCTTCTATTAACATGTACTTCTGCTTGTTGCAGGTAGAACTGATCTTTGATGAGGCTGTAGCTTTGGTTGCTCATCCATGATTTCCAACTTGTCCGGGTGATAAATGCCTGACAGGTTGAAGGATGTTACTAGAATAGTAGAAAACCCTTCTCATGCTGATAGTGCTGCTTGCTGGTGCATCATAAACAAAGGGTCGGGCCTCCAAACTTTTATAGTGTTTGTGTTACAAGTACATAATCAATAACCATTTTCGCTTAGCAGTTGTCTAAGTGTATTTGTTGTGGTGTATATAATATAGATAGCTCCCTTCCTCCTTTTTCTTTGGGTAGGCATGTTTATCTTATAGGTAGATGGTTGAGGTCTTGAGGAAAATTTGGGACAGTTGCTATTACTTATTCTTTTCTCCTTTATTAGGATACCATTCCCAATCCCACTTTTGAAGTTTGAACAGGTTTAAGTCGGTCAGGGTTGGGTTCTGGTTGCAAACTCTTAACCTATGATGATGGGTTAGGTTCTGTTTGGGTTACGGTGGTGTGCACAGGCTTACGGTGGAACAAACTCTCCTGTTCTAACTTTTAATCCTGTGTACATCTCATCAATAATCAATGTTTGTAATATCTCCCCACTCCTGATAAATCCCTCATTTCCTGTTAAATATAACCCCTTTTAACCCTCTCTAATAAAACATGGGTATAAATTAGGTAGGTTGGATGAGAGGATTAAGTGCCAATCGAAGACAAACCCCAATAAACATGGACCTTAACCTGGAACAAACCATTTACTAAACCCAAATTTTCCAACCCAAACTAACCAAATTGACTTCAACCCACATGCACTTGCATAGATTTGCTTGCTAGTATTCTATTAAAGCAGAATCAATGGTGATGTAGCAATCCATTTTCTGCTACAAAAGGAATCGACACATTTTTGGTTTTATGTATTGGACTCTCATTTTGTTTGTGTATCTTTTTAATATTCGTAAAAGCCACCTTTTAATTAAACATATTTTTTAACATATTCAATATTTAATGATTATTTTGGTAACCTTTAATGACTTTCTTTTTTTTTTTTGATAATAGTACTCTTGATCTTTTTAATTTGATAGAGAGTTGTTTTTAAATTTGTTTGGTAATCATAGTTTGTTTTATTTTTAATATTTTAGAGAATGAAAATTTATTTAATATTACTTCTAATGATTTTTTTATTTGATACGGGCATTTTTCTAATAGTATTTGCCTATTTGGCCATCATGTTTTTCTACATCTGTCTATTTAAAAATCCCACTAGAGGGAATTATATTAAAAAACAAAATATGCCCAAAAGAGTCTTAAAATATTATGAATTTTACAAAAATTCACCAAAACATTTGAAAACAAAAGATTTTTTTGGAAAATCCTTTATATTTTAATTGTTTGGAAACGTTTTCTTTTATAAGTAACGTAAAAGACAACATAAAATTATTACATATTATAATGAAAAATAAATATTAAAATTATTTTTATTTTTGTTGAATTTAAAAAATCTTCAATCTATTAAGAAGAAACAAATTAATATTAGGCCAAATTACTTAAATCTCCTTTGACTTTTCGGGTAAACTATACCTACCTTTTATGTGACATTAGAAACCTAATGCAAATTGGTGATGTTATGTCCTTAAGGCTGCGTTTGGTTGCAGTACAAATTTATTTGCACTAGTATAAATGCATGGGAGTGCAAATGAAAATAATGCAAAATTTAGTTTTTCTTTGTTTTGGGTTTACTTTATTCTGTTTCATATCTTATTTTACTTTATTTATATCACAATAAAAAAAGTTAAAATTAAAAAAAATAAATAAATCAAAATTTGCATCCAAACCATTTGCACTACTATAACTTTGCAACAGTATAGATCTATTTGCATTACAACCAAACACAGACTAAAGGCTTTAAAATCTCCAATTTTCCCATAGATGATGTTGTATTAAAAAATTATAGAAATGAAAATAAAACAAATAATGGTAGAAAATTAAAAAATAAAGATAAAATAAAATAATTGAAAATAAATTGAAACAGAACAAAAAATATATGGAAATGCATAAAATTTTAAAAATAGAAATTGATAAAAAGAGAATTTCATCTATAAAAATAAATAAAAATTATAGGGATCTTTATTTATATTTACCGTTTATGTTTAGCATAGGCTATCTGCTAGTCATATACAGTTGCTAGGACTCATTCAAATCACCCAAATGAAAGAGAAAGATTCTTCCACTACGACTAAAATATGCTACTACAATTCTTAAGTTTTAGTTTTCTAAGCCAACTTTAAAATTTTTATTAAAATAAAAAAAAGAAGTTGATCAGTTACATTAGTAATTTTCATAATTTAAGTCATATTTTAATTCTTCCATAATCAACACTGGTTCCCGTTGACAGAAACTTTTGACATTGTTTCTTATACTGAGGCTCTTACCAAACTTTACCTAATTTTGTATAGTACCAATATATACTACTCCAATTCTTCCATGTTCAGTATATAATCACCAAAAACTATAACGAACTCTATTCAATCAACTCAGTTTCTATAGTGTTTCATTCAAGCTAGATTAAAAAAAAAATAAAAAGAATCATTTCGATTCAAATGGTTGGTTGGGCGGAATTAGAATTCCATTCCATTCTCTCCTACTAGAATGACATTCTCCCATTTGAGGGAATGGCCATTCCCAAACAGACTATGAAAATAGACTTCCAATTCTGTTATCAAGGGATTTTGATTCCAATTCTAGCTACCAGCCAAATGGACCCATGTCATTTGACAAATGCTATTTGAAAAAGTGACGACATTCGTAATTATATCAAATAACTCCGAGGTAAGTATAGAGTAAATCTTGTTATTACTGAAAGCCAGTGTTTTCAAACTGTCACTGACCTGGACAGTCGGACCATTTGGCCTGGGAACCTTCTAGGTGGCCGGTTTCGGTTCTGTTTCACTCTTAACCCATTGACTTGGTCAGTGACCTGTTGACCTGGACAGTCTAACCGTTGACCCATTTGATTCGAAAACAACAGTTATAACCCTTATTTATTTATTTTTAATTTAGAACAGACTGCCTGTTCAAACCAGATGATTGAACCGCTAACCCAGAAACAGGTGGCTAAAGCAGTTCTGTTCTGGGTCGGATTTTAAAACATTGTTAAAAACCCCATAATAGCTATTTATAATTGAAAGGAATCTTTTGGTATGATAGTTGTCAACTTGTGATTGAGATAATAAAATGACATACTATACACACTAGGAAGCATGTTAGTCTGCATTGTCAGACTTTTGAACCTCTCCTGTCGAATTTTAGTGGGATTTTTCATTGCAGACTGCACACAGGAGCGTCAATTGGTAGCCATTAACAGAATAGAAGACATAAAAAGCGTCTAGTTGAGTAGGATTAATGGCCAATAGGCCATTGAAACTTATAATAATCTTGTTAGGATGTTGCTATAAACCCCAGAAGATAAAAGAGTTGTCAAACAGAGTCATTGTATTGTCCACAGAAGAAAAAGTATTCACTGCTTGGACCACACCACACCATCATCTGAGCAGAGACAGAGAGCCTTCGTTTGAACAGGACTAAAATGGCTATTGGGCCCATTACCAAATGTTGGGCCCAAGCTCTTGGGAGGGGGGAGGTCTGGAGATCATGGGCTAGGCCGGGGCTGGTCCAACTAGGGGTGTCAACTGGATTGGATTTGGTCCAATCCGATCCAGTCCAATGTGAGTCTATTATAAATGGACCAGGTTCTGTTTTTGAGCAATTTGGATCGGTCCAATTCAATGTCTGGAGCGTCTAATCTGTTCAAATTCATTTTGGTTTAGATTGGTTTCAATCCAAACCCGGTCAATTGACATATATATTCTTATCTTATATCAATGGACCAGATATTAGCTTAATCCAACCCAATCCAATATAAATTTGTTACGGACGGACCAGGTCCAAACCAATCTAATAAATATTTTGGACCAGATTGGTCCAATCCAATATGTCTTGCTGGTTCGTCCAAATTGATTTTGGACTGGACGGGGGTCCAATCCAAAACCGGTCCATTGACACCCTTAGGTCACACTGGGTCAGGCCGGGCTAGCATATGGGCTTGTCTACATTGAATGATAAAATTTGGCCCCTCTTCAAAACTCTTACCAACCAAAATTAACAAAGTAGTCTAAGCAAAGAAATGTGGACTTCTGCTTAACTATTCTTAAGAAAGAGTCTAAGTTGCAGCAAAATCTTTCTGTAGCCTATAGCCATCAACCATACCGGCAGTCATCCTCTTATAACAAAGACTAAATCAAGATAAAAATGAAAGCAATAAATTGGGCCTATTATCAACCAACAATTAAGCTCCAGACATGCTTTAGTTCTTCCTACTGATCTGAAACTTGCATAAGAAATTGATCAGTACTTGGAGCAGTCATTGTTCTCAGAAGAGATGGGTGGGAGTTGAAGGTTCATCACTCCACACTTCTCGGGTAGAACTTTGAGACGATGAGAATCAATTGGTCCAAAATCAGCAGAGAACTCATTAAAGCATTCACAGATACCTTGACGACCTCTCCTGTATCTCCACCACTGCGAGATGATTTTCATCCCACCGCAACAACTTCCCAATGGTTCTGGGTATATGCCCTCCAGGTACAACAAGCAGTCGAGGAATTCCTCAAGCAAAACAACGCAATCTGGTGAATAATTCAGAGACAATTCACCTGCCCAGGTGGGAATTCTGACTACACAAAAGTCTGCAGCAGCAGCTTGGGTTCTTGATCTCACATTTGATGACCACCCAGACACTAGCATGACAATCGCAAGCACAAAAACAAGACGACCCATTTGATTTCGACTCGTATAGATGCTAGTCAGTCATGAATTTGCTCAGTTATATACTTGAAACTTGCAGAAATTAATGGAGTTTGCACAGACAGATAAGTCTATTCTGGTATTCTTTGAGTTTACTTAATGGCCATGAAAATGAGACTGGGTGTCATGCTTCATCCATGAAGAAATGTATGTCTCTCTCCATGTTCGTAACGTGCCCCATGGGTCAGGTATTGTGCTCTTAGGAAGAAAAGAATGGAAAGTAATGCCTTCCTTACCAGGATTAAACAAGGTAGCTAGTTGTTACTTTAAGCCAACGCTATTTACTTTAATCTCAGGGATATTGGATTAGTAGAATGTGATTAGGTTTTGTATTTAGGAATCTTAGCTCCCATGAATCAAGATAAAATGACTATTGCAACAGCCAGTATTGTAAGCTCTACCAAACCAGGTCAATGGAAACCCTCCACGTGGCAAGTTGACTGGGACATAAAAAAGGACGCATCCATGCATGCAGATTTCAGCCTAAAACCCCTTGTGACATGGCCAGAACAAGCCCCTATATGAAGTATATTTTTTTTTTCTTTTGAGCTGTTAGCATCGCTAACAGTGAAGGTAAAAGTTATAAATTGCACATTCAAGAGTGACAAAAACAAATGCCAGAACGATGAAAATAATGCAATGCAAATTTATTTGTATTGATACGAAATTATAGTACTGAAATGATTTGGGTGCAAATTCTGATTTATTTTTATTTCAAAACCTACCTTATTTTGTTTGATTGCAGTACAAATGAAGTAAAATAAAACTTGAGGCAAAAAATGTAAAACCTAAAAAATAAAATTAAACTAGAATTTGCATTCTTTCCATTTGCACTCCCATGCATTTATACTAGTTCAAATAAAATTGAACTGCAACTAAACACAGCTTAGAGTACAAGAAATGTTCAAAATATTAATACGCCTGATACGACGTATCAGGCGATATCAATAGTGAGTCATATCAGGCGATATCAATAGTGGCGTATCGGGCGATATCAATAGTACTTTTTAGACTATTTTTTAATTTTTTTTCAAAACCGGTTCAGGGGGGCTGGTTTAAGGCTCCTCCACCCCTTGAATTCGTCAAAACCCCCGATACACCCCCTGTAGGGACGTATCGGAAAGCCACCGGCACGATACGCATCTGCCAATATGGACCAATATGTATCAATACTTTGAACCTCGAGTACAAGTGGTTGACAAGGAGATGATTAACCAATAAGTCATGGGGCTATAATGGGGTCTGAATTTAATTTGATTACTTACTTGCATCCAAATCTCATCCAAAATCTGATTAGATTTGAAGACCTTGAATTTGAATTCGATTTCTAATGGACTCGAATCAGATTCGGATTTAATCCGATTTCTCTTCAATTTTTTTTAATACAAAAGAATTGAAAAGTTAATTACTTTTCAAATTTTATATATAACATACTGAATTTATTTATATATATTCATATAATATATATATATATATTCATAAATTTAAATATAATTATTTAAAATTTATATATTAAAATCAATAAATATTATAATATAATTGGATTTGAATTTTAATCATATCGGATGGAGTCAAAACCAAATCTGATCCGATTATTTATTTTTTTTATTTTTGAGAAAAGGTAATGTAAATTTAATTGATAGAAAAAACTAGTACAAAGACTCCCCAACTAAACACCTTAGATGGGGAAACAACCCAAACATAACAAAATTACAGATGGCATAGGCTCCTAGAATTCAGCCTAGCCCCCAACTTAGCCTAGATTCCCTTAGAGGTTGAGATCCAAGAAATCAGCTTTCCAACAGACATGAAAATCAGGTCTTCTGGATCCTTATAGATATTCTAAAATAGTCTTTTGTTCCTTTCTACCCAAATGGTGCTTATGACTACAACCAGAATGGACATCCACATAGCTGAAGCAAGCTTTGACAAACCCAATAATCCCCAGCTCCACAACATCTCCTTCACCAAAGCTAGCATTGACCAGACAAGACCCACCGAACCAAGAAAATGATTCCATATTCTAGCTAAAATTGAGCAATGCAGAAACAGATGATTGCTATCTTCCACTCCTTGACCACATAACACACACCTCTGGTCCTGGATATGAACCCCTCTTTTACATAGGTGGGCTTTAGTTAAACACTTTTCTAGAACTGCAACCCACACTAAAGCATTGATTTTTTAGGGAGCGGATGGATTCCAGATTCTAGAAGCAGGCATATCTTCCGAAGTACTCATTGTCATGTGAGAAGCAAATGACTTGACTGAAAAGAGGCCATTTGAACTCCAAGTCCAGGATCAGTTGTCTTCTCTAAGCAGATTTAGGGGTTGAAGAGAGAGTAGTTCAAGTAGATCAGCTAGGGCAGGTATTTCCCAATCCTAAAAATTCCTTTTAAAAGAAGGGCACCAGACTACTGAGTTCCCCACCACCTCAAAACAATCAGCAACCACTGCATCTTGTTGATAAGCTAACTGGAATAGATGTGGGAATAACTTTGAAAGAGTAGTATTTACACACTAGGGGTCTTTCCAAAAGGACAACCTATCACCCTTCCCAAGGATGGGGCTTAAGCCTCTACTGAAAATAGGTAGGATGTCCATTATTTTCCTCCATACCGAACAACCTAGCGATGGGAGAAAAGTGGTGATCAAATCTCCTCTGTCTGTGTTGTATTTTGATGCCATTAACTTCCTCCACCAGTGATTTCTTTCCAACCTGAACCTCTAGATCCATTTCCCAAAAAGAGCCTTATTAAAGGTCCTCATTCTCCTTGTACCTAAACCTCCTTTACTTTCCAGAGAGCACACCTTATCCCAACTCACTAAGTGGAATTTCTTCCTATACTTCTCCCATCCTTTCCATAAAAAGTCCCTCTGCAGCCTCTCAATCCTTTTGGCCACTTTACTTGGGATTGGGAATAAAGAGAGATAAAATGCTAGCAAGTTGGATAAGGAGTTTTTTAACAAAGTAATTCTGCCCCCTAAGGACAAGTATTTAGCTTTCCAAGATGCCAATTTCTTTTCTAGCCACCCTAAGACTGGTTTCCAAATCAGAGCTAAAGTGCATTTTGCTCCTAGGGAGAGTCACAAATATTTTGTTGGGAGGAATCCCACCTGACACGCTAACCTCTCTACCAAGTCCTCTACATTTTCAACTTTTCCCATTGGGATCAAACTGCTCTTACTCCAATTGACTTTCAGACCTATCACCACTTTGAACCAACTTAGAACTCCAACTATAAGTGTTATTCATTGGCTTCCATAAAACATAGGGTGTCATCTACGAATTGCAGAACCTGAACCTTCTCCCCTCTTGGCACCACCTCAAAGCCTTCCCACCACCCCTCCCCTACTTTTTGGATGAAGATTGTAAGTAGTTCAATCATATATAAATGAACAAAAGAGGGGAGAGAGGGTCTCCTTGCCTTAGCCCCATAAAGTTTTTTAAAAAAGCCTACTAATTGGCCATTAAGGAACACTGGAAACTTAGGAGAAGTGACACAGACTTTAATCCAGTTCCTCTAAGTCTGCCCAAAATTCATTTTGTTCAACACGCAATCTAAACATCTCCAATTGACATTACCATAGGTCTTTTCGAGGTCAAGTTTACAAAGTAGACCTAGATTTCCCTCCCTTAATCTTGAATCAATTAATTCATTGGCTACCAAGACGTTGTCCATCATTTTTCAACCTCTCTGGCAAAACCTTGGCCAAAATCTTATAGAAGCTATTTAGGAGGCTAATAGGTCTGAAATCCTTCAAATTTGTGTCTCCTTCAATTTTTGGGATCAAATATGAATGTAGCATTTAAGCTTCTTTCCAATGAGGAATTTTCTATGGAATTCCTAGAAAACCTACATCACATCTGATTTCACCACATCCCAACAACTTTTGTAAAATAAAATGGTAAGCCCATCCGACCCAGGGGACTTTTCTGAATCTAAATTCTTTTATCACCTACCAAACCTCCTCTTCTAAAAAAGGAGCTTCCAAACATCTTTGTTGGTCCTCCGAGATTCTTTTGAAATTAACTCCCTCAGGTAGAGGTCTTTTTTTTCCAATCTTCCTTAAAGAGCTTCGTGAATAAATTTATAACCATTCTTTTCTTATCTCGCCAAGATTCCCCAACCTCCCCCGTCCAATTCCAGTTTTTCAATTCTATTTATTCTATTTCTAGCATTTACCATTTTTTGAAAAAAGCTAGAATTTCTATCTCCAACCTTGAGCCATTTCACCTTTACTCTTTGTCTCCACTTCAATTCATTCTTATATGCTAATTTATCTACGAGCAATTTTGCTTACAGTCTTCTTTTCTTTTCTTCCTCCGAGATGGGGCCTCTTTCCTCTGCTGAATCTATCTCTTTAATTTCCTTCACACACCTCCTCTTTTCATTTTCAGATTTATTCAAGATTTCTGCCTTCCATGATTTCAAAGCCTCCTTAATTGCACCCAATTTTTTTGCTAAAATGTAAGAGCTTGTTCCCACCACCTAAGTTTTTGACCAAATGTCTTTTAAAAAATGTATAGTCTTCTTCTTCAAACCATGCATGTTCCAATTTAAAGCTAGACTTCCTTCGGATTTGCTCACTGCAAACCAATTGAAGAGGGGAATGGTCTAAAATTGGCCTTGGCAAAGCCTACTGTTTCAAGTTTTGGAATAAATCTTCCCACCCTAGGGACATCAGAAATCTATCAAGTTTTAATAGAACAAACTCCTCTTTTGTCCATGTAAATTGAGCCCCAATTAGCGGAAGATCTATCAGTTCAAATTGATTTACAAAACTTGCAAAATGCCTTCTGTCTCTAGATGCGTTTCTACCCCCATTTTTGTCTTCCAAAAATCTGGTTACATTAAAGTCTCCCCCTACTACCCAAGGGATTGTGGAAGACCCTCTTGCATCAGATAAATCCCCCAAAGTCTTTCCTTCTCTTCTTAAGGTTGGGCCATAGACATTGGTAAACAAACCCC